GATTTTGCATTGCTTTGTTTTGATCTTCTTGCCCCTGAGACAAATTGGTGAGTAACTCACTAACCGTATCATTATACAAAGACTTACTTGAATTTGTTTGGGCAGGTTGTGGTGGCTGCATAGGTGTTGTATAGAACTCCTCATATGGTTGCCAATATTCTCCTTGTTGAGCCTCCTCGATTTGGTTTTGTGAGCCCTGCACCAAAGAAATTAATTCATTAAGAGCTTGATTATAATCTATTGACAAACCTGAGTTTGGTTGGGCATATTGTATATGAGGTTGTGGTGGATGCATAGACGTTGAATAGAACTCCTCATAGGGCTGCCAATATCCTTCTTGTTGAATATGTTGAGGTTCCCACCACATAGAGTTTGAATGATCACTCCAATCTGAATTGTAAGTATTGGAAAACATGTTATTCCTTGATTGAAGATCAAATATATCAACGCTTTGCATTTGGGACCTTTCCATGAGCTGTGACAATAGAGAAGCATTATCAAGTGCCATGTTGTGCTTCTCTAGTACTTGAATTCAACAAACAAAATACAAATAAAAAAAACTAAAACTAAAATACATAACAGAAACGAACAATCCAAGGGATTAGCAAATTTGCTAATCCCCGGCAACGGCGCCAAAATTTGATGCGAGAATTATACGCACACAAATTAAACCCTCTTTTTGACAATTGTAGTAAGTATGTAAGTAGGGATCGTTCAGGACCGGGGATTAGGAGGGATTGTTAATCACTTGGATTTCACTCAAAAACGTAAAAACACAATATAAAACACTATACTAGACTCAAAGAATGCAAAACTAAACTTTAAAACACTAAAACAAATCAAAAGACTCAAAATAGCACAAACACACTCAAATCTGCCTAAATACCACTTTCTGGGCAGTTTTGAGCACAAACCCAAATTTGGACGAAATTAAGTTGTAACTTGACTCAAGACTCTTAAAAACACAAACTAAATTGATTTCTAACTAATTTGACAATAAAGTAAAGGGGGATTTAGGGTTTGACGAAATTAAACTAAATGAACAAATTGCAATTAAAACAGAATGTAAATATGAAATTGATGAAATGGAATGAATGGATGCTAGCCAAGGGGTTCATCTCCACACATGTTACACTTGCATAATAAAAAGATTTCCAATTGCATTTCAATAAACCATGAATTCTCAACACCCCAAGTTAACCGTGATGCACTAATTAACCTTCAAATCTTCCTAACGTTATTGAATTGGATGATTGCATACGACAACCCAAAACATTCCCCACAAGTCCCCTACATGATTGCATAATAGAGATACAAGCAAGAATCATTACGCTCTATGAAAATTATAAGTGTTGACGAGGCATTCGTTACTATGATTGCATGAAACTTATGCCAAGAATTCGTTTAACGCGATTGTTTATAAGCAACCTCCACTACTTGTGAATACAAGTTCGTAACTATTAGGTGAAACTCACTTATATTCTAGCGTCATATTCATGCATGAAAATTAAGCGTGTACTCTCAATAAACATACATAAATAAGTTATCAATCAAACAGTTAAACAAATTGAATCCACAACTTATGAAACGCAATTAGAAGTAATCAAATCAAAATGCAAGCATAAACATATATTTCGAATCCCCCCCTAGCCAAAGGGGGGTTTAGTTCCTCATACGTACAAAACAAAGAGAATTGAAATTAAACATTGTAATCGAGGAAAAGAAACACCTAAACATTCCAACAACTCAAACTTGAATTGTATGAACGTTTAGGCACTCTTCTCCTCCTCTTCGTTGTAGCACAAGGTCTAAGGATAGTTTGATGGTGTGGATGTGTGTTTGAATGAATGAATTTCTGAAATGGAAGAGCGTATGAATGAATGAATCCATTGTGGCTGATATGGATGCTTATTTATAGGTGAAAAGGAGGGAATATGACAGCTAGGAACTTGGTGGAAATCTGGAATGGTGATGGGAGATGCATGTGGCTGATTTATGCATGTGATTAAAGGGTGGGAGTGCATGTGGAGTGGCTGGAACAAAGGGGGAAGCATGGCACAAAGGTGGAATGACAGCTAGGTTATGATGATGAATGCATAAAGGTGGAATGACAGCTAGGTTATGATGATGAATGCATGTGGATTAGGTTGGAATTGCATGTGGAATGGCTTAAAGGATGGAAGTGCATGTGGCTCTAATGTAGCCTTCTAGAAATTAGGTTTTTAGGCCCCCTTGTAACTCCCTAACTGAATTCAAGCCTTTCAAATTCGTCCATCCTCATGCCTCCATGCTTGCACTATCCAATCTTGGCCCAAAAATGCTCTAGAATGCTCCAAATTGCTTCTTTTAGCATACTTTGACACTAAAACCTGAAATTGCACGAAAATAACTTTAAACACTATAATTAACATAGTTTAGCTAATTAAATGCAAGAAAACAAGCTAACTAAGTCGTATAAATATGCTCCTATCAATACTTCACCATTCTTCATATTTTCTGCCCAAAAATAAGCCTTGAAGTCCCCTACATCCATCCCTATCCTAAACACATCATTCTACACCATCCATAACCCTCAAAACCTATCCTTAGACCTTGTGCCGCAACAAAGAGGAGGAGAAAGGCCTAAACGTTCATACAATTCAAGTTTGAGTTGTTGGAATTTTTAGGTGTTTCTTTTCCTTGATTTCAATGTTTAATTTCAATTCTCTTTGTTTTGTGCGTATGAGGAACTAAACCCCCCCTTGGCTAGGGGGGATTCGAAATACATGTTTGTGCTTGCAATATGATTTGATTACTTCCAATTGCGTTTCATAAGTTGTGAATTCAATTTACTTATCTATGTGAATTAAATTGATTTGTGTGTGTTGGTTGAGAGTGCACGCTTAATTATCATGCATAAATTGGATGCTAGGATATAAGGAAATTTCACCTAATCGTTATGGAATTATATTCACAAGTAGTAAAAGTTGATGATCTCAATCGCGTTAAGTAAATTCTTGGCATAAGTTTCATGCAATCATAGTAACAAGTGCTTCGTCACTTATGGTTTTCATAGAACTTAATGATTCTTGCTTGTATCTCTATTATGCAATCATGTAGGGGACTTGTGGGGAATGCTTTGGATTGTCGTATGCAATCATCCAATTCAATAACGTTAGGAAAATCTGAGGGTTAATTAGTGCAATTCACGGTTAATCTGGGGCGTTGAGAATTCATGGTTTATTGAAAAGCAATTAGAAATCGTTTTGTATGCAAGTGTGACATGTGTGGAGAAGAACCCTCTAGCTAGCATTTCATCCATATTTTCATCAAATTCATCTTTACAATCTGTTTGAATTACATTCTGTGCATTTTATTTAATTTCGTCAAAAACTCAATCCCCCTTTGCTTTATTGTCCAACTTAGTTAGAAAGTGTCTTAGTTTGTGTTTTTAAGTGTTTTGATTCATTTTATTACCCAATTTTGTCCAAAGTAGTCAAAGTGCTCAAAACTGCCCATAAAGTGTTTTTAAGGCTGTTTTGAGTGTTTTGGGTGCTGTTTGAGTCTTTTGGTTTGTTTAGTGTTTAGTGTTTTAGTGTTTTAAGTGTTTAGTTTTGCATTCTTTAAGTCTAGTTTAGTGTTTTAAACTTTATTTTACGTTTTTGAGTCAGTTTCCAAGTGATTTTGCAATCCCTCCTAATCCCCGGTTAAGAACGATCCCTACTTATACTTATACTACAATTATCACAAGAGGGTTTTAATTTGTGTGCTTATTTAGTTAGCATCAATGCCTTCTGAAAGTGTCAGTCCCTCCCCTTTTATCTTTTGGATATATTCTTTGGTGGAACCATGTGAACTTTGCAGAATACTGAACCAAGTTTGTACAGTTGTTTGAAGCATATCATCAATATTTTTGAAAAATTTTGTCCTAATGATTAAAAAGAAAGTATTTTGGGATTTTTTGGTTAGTTTTCCCATAGAAAAACCCAAAACCCAAAATAAAACAACACTACTTATCTCGTCCCTAATGAACTTCCTACATGTTAATTAGCCTAACTATATTATAGCTAACTTGCAGACTAAAACAAAAATAATGGGCCAGAGCCGAATTGGATTCCATTTTTTCAATTGCATGTGGTGTGATCTTGTCTATATGGAATATTAATTGCATATGCATGAACATGCTTATATATATGTATATATATATATATATATATGCAATATGTAATAGTAAAATTATGAGATAATAGATTGGGGGTTAATGTCTTATAGTGAATGTTTTCATGCAAACATGGGCTAATAAGATATCAAGTCTGTGTTTTAGAAGAAACTAATCGACTGGAAATAAAGCCTTTGAATGCAATTTGTAGAAGGTTCGTCTCCCACATTCAAGATTTCATCTACAATGCATGGTATCACGTTCAACACAGAAAAAATAAATTGAATAAATAAAAGTATATTAATTTAATAAATAAAAAATCGGTCATAATAAGAATGACCGAAACGTAATACTTCCTTGATTAAAGATAGATAAACTCTCCTTAGTACAGTGTCAAGAATGTGCTTATAACGTTTCGAGCCCTATTTAACTAAAGAGTTAGAGAGAGATGGAGAGAGAGAGGGTGCGACAATGAATAGAGAGAATTGAGTGAATTTTAAGGAATGATTTCTCACTCTCATTGTGCCTTTATTATAATCAGGAATGATAAATTCCTTACCTTTGATTTATGTGAGGTGGGCTAGTACAAGGGGCTGATGAGGAGAGATTTTCCAATGTATCGTAGGAATATAACTCGTATATCAAGTGTTATAATATAAGTTTTTGAAACTTTTTTTAAGAATTTAATCACTTATATTATGAAACATTATGTGTTTAGCCGTACTCTCGATATAATAAAGTTTCTCACTAATAAAAACTGCATGATTTAAAATGTATGGTTCGAATTGCCTGGTCTGTCGGTTCGGGACACAAATCCGAAGAGGATCTCGAGTCTCCCCTATTATATTAAACATGGGCGCCAGACAAACACAAGGCAAGTGGCGACTACTGAGTCATATTTCTTCTTGGTGCTCAGAACTTGAAAGATCTGTGACACTGACCGACTCTCTCAAAAAAGGCAAAAAACCACTCTCCCTCTCCATTTCTTCTGAATCTTCGCATCCCTAACCCTAACCCTAATCTCTCTCCCCCTTCCACCACAACCATGGGCAAAGCTGTTGTCTCTGACGAAGAAGGTGACCCACTCGCATTTCCATTTCTACTTCTCTCCTCCCTTTTGGGTAAAAATTAGCCCTAACCCAAGTCCTAACGCCCTTTTTCATACTTTGTTTGGTTCAATCTGTTCAGATGAGGTCGAGCTCGACGAGGACGACAGGGAACCTCTTCACGGCGATGCCGTCGATGACCAGGATGGTGGCGACGAGGACGAGGACGAGGAAGAAGGTACGGCCTCCAATTTTTTTCATCCGTTTGTTAAATGCATGTGGTTGTTTGCTCGGGGTTCAATTTTTCAGTTCTATGGTGAATAATTGGGGGTTGGAGGTGTCGATGGAGGGATTAGGGTTTCCTTGCTCGAACTAGGGTTTCTGTTTGTTTGAAAAGATTGGACTTGGTTTTTTTTTTTTTTTTTTTTCCCTGATGAAATATATGAGAGAAATGTGTGGGAAAGGGAAAGCAACTGGTTCGTTTAACTGTCCAATGTACTGGTGATTGTTTCGTCGCAGTTCTATCGATTTTTTCCCCTGTGTATCAAGTTGGCCATCTCGTTTATGTCACTTGGAATTGTCTTTGCAATGCTTCATCATTTTGCTTATACTTCCTCTTTTCCATATTTATTTTATGGTTCATTTATTTTGTTATGTTTTCCCATACTGTTGTAGTATTTATATTTGTACGGTGTTCATGTACTATAGAGAGTCAATTTTAGTGTGTTTTTTGGATTTGCTGAATATGTAACATATCATCATTTATTCATTTTCCAGAAGGGCCAGATGAATATGAGAAGGATGATTTTATAGTAGATGATGTAGACGAAGACGATGAGCAAGAGGAGGAAGAAGAGAGAGCAGACAGTGATGAAGAACGGCAGAGGAAGAAAAAAAGAAAGAAAAAGTGAATTTTCTGTATTCTGAGCTATTATCTCTTTTAAAGTCTAGCTTTTAGTGGTGAAATTGTTAGAAAAACAAAAACTCTGGCTTGTTTTGGATGCCATCTTGGATCAACAGTATTATTTATTTTAATTGATCACTGAAAAGAATGCATCAGTTTTTTGGGTATGAGAGTGGCTTTCTTCTTGCCTGTTTTCAGATGATGGTGAATGCACTGCCAATTGTTGCATTCATCATCGTCGTTATCTTCTTTTAGCATTAAACAGAGGGTTAGATATCATTTTGTAACCTCTTTTCCTCTCTATTTTTCTAGAGAGGAGTATGTCCTTGATGAAGATGACTATGAGCTCCTTGAGGACAATAATGTAATTGCACCCCGAAGGAAGGCTGTAAGTATTGTTCATATTTTCTTATATTTTTTTTAATGTGAAACTTGTGCGTTTCTTTCTTACTCAATATAAATAGTTCATGATTTGGAGTGTTCGTTTTCTTATTTTTTGTTCAAACATTTTTCAGGGGAAATTTAAGCGTCTGAAAAAAGCTCAGAGGCATGGTGTGGGGGAGCCTGGGGAATTTTCTGACGAGGAGGAGTTTGATGGTAGTGGTAAAGGTGGAAGAACTGCAGAGGAGAAACTTGAGCGCAGCTTATTTGGTCATGATGAAGGTATATCTGTCTATGCATGTGTAGAACTCAACTTGTAGAATAATGAGAGTAAAATTTGGTTCATTGTTATTGCTAATAAACTATAACCCTATAGGTACTCCATTTGAGGATATTGTTGAAGAGGAGGAACCAGAAGAAGCAGAAGATGATGGAGAAGTTGGTGAAGAGGATGAAATGGCAGACTTTATAGTCGATGAAGAGTTTGATGAGACTGGGACTCTTGTGAGGTATTTCTCTGCTGTGTTCGCATGCCCGTGCTTGAGCTTTTTTTTTTTTGTTTTTGTTTTCAACTCATTTTCTCATAATTTGAATAATTGACTCTTTTGTTTTTTGGTTGTTAATTCCTTGTTTAGACAGAGGAAGCTTAAGAGAAAAAAGTCTAGGCAGGCACCAGGAGTATCATCAGATGCTTTGCAGGAAGCTCACGATATATTTGGTGATGTTGATGAATTACTACAGCTCCGTAAGCAAGGTTTGGATTCCAGTGAATGGAGGGAAAGGAAGCTCGAGGATGAATTTGAACCAATTATTCTTTCTGAAAAGTATATGACAGAGAAGGATGACCAGATTCGGGAGCTTGATGTTCCAGAAAGAGTGCAGGTTCTTTTCACTCACCCTTTGTTAATATACTGTAATTTCGGATTTCATGTCACATCAGCTGTATTTTATTCGTTTCTGTGTAGGTATACGAGGAAACCACTGGTTCTTTTCCACTGGATGGAATTAGTATAGACGATGAGAGTACCTGGATATATGATCAAATTGCAAGTGGTACAATACCTTTGTTTAGCAAGCCAGGCTTGGCGAATTCTATAAGCAGGGAAGATATCAACAGATTTTTGGACTTGCATCATGTGCAGAAGCTGGACGTTAGTATTCTGATTAGTGTTTGTCTAGTTCTGTTTATTTATCTGAACTTTATTCTATTAATCTGTCAAACTCAACTTGTTTTCAGATTCCTTATATTGCTATGTATCGGAAAGAGGATTGCCTTAGTTTATTGAAAGATCCTGAACATCTTGAATTGGAAGATGTAAATCAGAATGAAAATGAGAAATCGTCTGGGCTAAAGTGGCACAAGGTACTCGTCATTGACTACTAAATGTGTTGCTGGTTTAAGATTGAAGATGAATAAGCAATATGTTGAAACTGTTTCCTTTTTTCTGCATAGGTACTTTGGAATATTCAGGACTTGGACAGAAAATGGCTTCTGCTTCAGAAACGAAAAAGTGCTCTGCAATCTTACTACAATAAGCGATTTGAGGAAGAATCCCGACGTATATATGATGAGAGCAGACTTACATTGAATCAACAACTTTTTGAGTCAATCATGAAGTCGCTCAAGGCTGCAGAATCAGAGAGAGAGGTTGATGATGTTGACACCAAGTTTAACTTGCATTTCCCTCCAGGTGAGGCTGGAGTGGATGAGGGACAATATAAGAGGCCCAAGAGGAAATCTCTTTACAGTGTCTGCAGTAAGGCTGGCCTGTGGGAAGTTGCAAGCAAATTTGGTTACAGCTCTGAGCAGTTTGGACTGCAATTATCTCTAGAAAAAATGGTAAGTCTGGTTTGTCTTCCAGTTTTCAATGTCTAGTCTAAATAGAGAGACACAAGTTTCATAGTTCATTTGATTGTAGAGAATGGATGAGTTGGAGGATGCGAAGGAGACACCGGAGGAGATGGCGTCGAACTTCACATGTGCAATGTTTGAGACACCTCAAGCTGTGCTCAAAGGGGCTAGGCATATGGTATGCATTAATAGTTTTGTAGTTTATAGAAATGCCCGTTCAAATGATGTTTTCTTGTAAGTTGTCTGATGTTCTTTTATGGCTTGTTTCAGGCAGCTGTTGAGATAAGTTGTGAGCCATGTGTCAGGAAGTATGTTCGATGCAACTACTTGGATACCGTTGAGTTATCGACAAGCCCCACACCCGCCGGAAATGCGGCAATAGATGCTTTTCATCAGTTCTCTGGCGTGAAGTGGTTGCAAAGAAAGCCATTAAATAAATTTGAGGATGCACAATGGCTGCTTATCCAGAAGGCTGAGGAGGAGAAGCTTCTTCAGGTTACTATTAAGTTGCCAGAAGACAGACTAAATAAGTTGATAAGCGACTTTAATGAGTACTATCTTAGTGATGGTGTTAGTAAGTCTGCACAACTGTGGAATGAGCAACGGAAGTTGATATTACAGGATGCTCTTTTTAGTTTTCTTCTTCCTTCAATGGAGAAAGAAGCAAGATCGATGTTGACCAGTAGAGCAAAAAACTGGTTACTCATGGAATATGGAAAGGTTTTGTGGAATAAAGTCTCAGTGAGACCATACCAAAGGAAGGAAAATGATAATAGCTCAGACGATGAACCTGCACCTAGGGTCATGGCTTGCTGCTGGGGCCCTGGGAAGCCAGCAACCACTTTTGTGATGTTAGATTCATCTGGGGAGATTCTAGATGTACTTTACACGGGGTCCCTCACTTTACGCTCTCATAATGTTAATGATCAGCAACGAAAGAAAAATGATCAAGAACGTGTTCTGAAGTTCATGACTGATCATCAACCACAAGTCGCCGTCCTAGGCGCTGTTAACTTGTCTTGTGTTCGCCTAAAAGATGATATTTATGAGGTGTGTGTTACTATAGTATTGATATCTTTTAGCTGATATAGCATCCTAGTGCCACTAGTCTGATGAAGTCGGGAGATGGGTTTACTTTTGTCGTTTTTGATCTCTATGTTATTCATCTAGGGATTGTCATCTTTCTTTTTTCCTATTTCAAAATCTACGTATATTACACATGATGCTTATTTTGTTCAACTCTTGCCATTATCAGATAATTTTTAAGATGGTGGAGGAAAATCCTAGAGATGTTGGCCATGATATGGACGGTTTAAGCATTGTATATGGGGATGAATCTTTGGCCCGCCTGTATGAAAATTCTCGGATTTCATCTGATCAGCTACCTGCACAACAAGGTATAAATTGTTCCCACACTCCAGTTCATATCTTATTTTCTCTTAAAGATGTCTTGATGTTTTTTTCTTGTATTGTCAGGAATTGTCAAGAGGGCTGTGGCTCTTGGGCGTAATCTTCAAAATCCATTGGCAATGGTTGCCACACTTTGTGGACCAGGAAGAGAAATCTTATCTTGGAAACTCAATCCTTTTGAGAACTTTCTCACCCCAGATGAGAAGTATGTGATGGTTGAACAGGTCATGGTAGATGTCACGAACCAGGTAGGCCTTGATATTAATTTGGCTATAAGCCACGAATGGTTATTTGCACCTTTGCAATTCATTTCTGGGCTTGGACCTAGAAAGGCGGCATCTTTGCAGAGATCGTTGGTAAGATCTGGTGCAATATTTACTCGAAAGGATTTGGTGAACCCACACGGGCTTGGTAGAAAGGTATTTGTTAATGCATCCGGTTTCTTACGTGTTCGGCGGAGTGGATTGGCTGCTAGCAGCAGCCAATATATTGATCTGTTGGATGATACGAGAATTCATCCAGAATACTATATAATTGCGCAAGACTTGGCCAAAGATGTTTATGATGTGGATGGTAACAACGATGATGAGGATTTGGAGATGGCTATAGAACACGTCCGGGATCGACCTAGTTATCTAAAAAACCTTGATGTTGAAGCTTATGCTAAAAGTAAAAAGCTTGAGAATAAGATACAAACATTTTATGATATAAGGAGAGAATTAATACAGGGTTTTCAGGATTGGCGTAAACAATATGAAGAACCAAGCCAGGATGAAGAATTCTATATGATTTCAGGTGAAACCGAGGATACCCTTGCTGAAGGAAGAATTGTACAGGCTACAGTTCGCAGGGTGCAAGGTCAGAGGGCAATTTGTGCTCTTGAATCTGGATTAACTGGCATGCTTATGAAAGAAGATTATTCAGATGATTCAAGAGATATGGAATTGTCTGACAGACTGAATGAGGGCGACATTCTCACTTGCAAGATCAAATCCATTCAAAAGAATAGGTACCAAGTTTTCCTAAGTTGTAGAGAGAGTGAGATGAGAAATAACCGTTATCAGAACACTCAGAATCTTGATACCTATTACCATGAAGACCGAAGAAGTCTACAGAGTGAGCAAGATAAAGCTCATAAGGAGAAAGAGCTTGCAAAGAAGCATTTCAAGCCAAGGATGATTGTTCATCCTCGCTTCCAAAATATAACTGCAGATGAAGCAATGAAGGTATGCTGTTAAGAATGCTTTTTATTTTTATGATATCTGATGTTTATATTAATGTGTTAGGTTGATTTGAATTTTTTAACTGTAATTGGTTGTTAGTCATATTAACTAATGCAAAATCATGTTATATTATGTGTTCTATGTGCCTTTGTGTTACACTATGCATCAACATGTAAGCCTCTGGGAGGTAAAGGAGGTTTAACCAAATTTGAATATTAAGATCTTTATATTTACTTAGTAGTCGTAGTGGATCAGTAGGTTTTTGAATTATATACTGTTCATTTACATAGTATTCCCAGAACCATTCACCTTCTAAAATGGTTCATTTGTTATGTTTAACAGTTCTTGTCTGATAAGGATCCTGGGGAAAGTATCATTCGTCCCAGTTCCCGCGGGCCTTCGTATTTAACCTTGACTCTCAAGGTTTATGATGGAGTATATGCTCACAAAGACATTGTTGAAGGTGGAAAGGATCATAAGGATATCACGAGCTTACTCCGCATTGGGAAGACTTTGAAAATTGGGGAGGACACTTTTGAGGATTTGGATGAGGTCAGTATTTTTTGTCAGAAAGTAGGATATATTTGTTGTCTTACTTTTCTCTCACTTTACTACTAATGGAGGTTAATTGTTTTCTTCTAAGTTTCGTTAACTAATGAAATTGCCTTTTATACAATACGTAATGCTTGAATCATTAATGGTTACGAGTTTGGGACAGAAATTACAAATTTTGTGCTATATTGCAGTTGTTACAGATATTGAACTAGCTCAATATAATCTTAACAAAGGGCTCTTAGAAATTTTTGAACTTTATCCGTGTCTTGTTCTGAGACAAATTTTTTTATCACATGCTTGTTTTGTCTAGATAATGGTGGTGTGTCCTGATGTTGAGGAATAGAAATGTAATGGCACACTACGGAAGTGAGTACCGAACGGAATACTGATGTGCATGTTGACCAACTTAAATGCAGGTAATGGATCGTTATGTTGATCCCTTGGTAGCTCACTTGAAGGCAATTCTAAATTATCGCAAGTTCAGGAAGGAACAAAACAAGAGGTCGATGAACTTTTGAAGATTGAGAAATTGGAGTATCCTATGAGGATAGTTTATTCTTTTGGGATATCGCATGAACATCCAGGCACTTTCATCCTGACCTATATACGGAGTACAAATCCACACCATGAGTATGTTGGTCTATATCCGAAGGGATTCAAATTCAGAAAAAGGATGTTTGAAGACATTGATCGGCTTTTAGCATATTTTCAGCGCCATATTGATGACCCTCAGCATGAGTCAGGACCATCTATTAGATCAGTCGCTGCTATGGTGCCGATGCGAAGCCCTGCAGCTGGGGGTTCTTCAGGGGCATCTGTGGGCAGTGGCTGGGGTGGATCAACTAATGAGGGTGGTTGGAGAGGCCAGTCTTTTGATGGGGATCGGTCATCTACACCGAGTTCACGAACAGGTGAAGTTGACTTAAAGAAATCGCCTATGGATTTTCAACTTCTATGTTTGATGAACATTGAAATTTGCTTGGTTGCATGGGTTTAACTGTTTTCTAGATTTCACTTGAGTGCTGCTAAGATCTACCTTATACAGTTTTTAGCATATAAACAAATCCCTGTTTCTTTTACTGTGACGCAAGCTGGCTGGAAGCTGATCTAGAGCTTTCAAAGTCTTTCCTGGCAGGGATGTTTTTGACTTTTGGGACCTCTGATGGATTAATTATCTTCGAAAAATAGGAAACACATTATAAACACTGGAATCTGGGCCACATGCCATGTGTGCGATTAAATTTGCCTCTACTTTTCTTGTGAATTATAGTTGCATCATTTTTCCTGGTGGTTTAGGCGTCTGTAAGCCCTTTGAATAGAATGGCAATACCAAATAAAGAATTAAAAGCTACTAATATAATAGGTCTTCATGTTTCCACATATACCTTAAACAATTTGACTGGAATGTTCATTCTACTCTTGTAATACGGACTACCCTTAACAGAGGCTTATTTCTGCACAATGTGGCCGGCTGGGTGGAAAACTTGGACACATGTTCATTGTTCTCTGCCATATATGAAAATGGCTAGGATTTTTTAGCTCTCATCTTCAGTTAGCTGATTGCTTTGTGTGTTTTTTTTTACCATTGTACTCACTTCGATGGAATTTTGATGGCAGGTTTGGTTCTGTTGTATTTGTCTCTTTGATGTAGTACAAATATGCACTGGTCATGTTGGTCTTGTTTTATCCTGTCTTTAGTGACACCAAACTCATAGAATTCATCGCTTAATACTTCTTTTCCCATCTGACTCTTGCTTCCTTTGTCGAGAGACTTCTGATTTTCTATTGACTTATTTTTAAAGTTTTAATCTTGACAGGTCGAAGTGATCATAGAAATGGTGGTAGTCGGGATGGGCATCCAAGCGGCCTACCTAGACCATATGGTGGGCGTGGTCGTGGTCGAGGAGCATATAACAACAGAGGAAATAGCACTGGCAATGAGAGGCAGGATTCTGGTTATGATGCTCCTGCGTGGGGTTCAGATTCCAAGGATGGGGATGATGGTTTGGGCAAATTTCCAGGTGCAAAGGTCCAGAACTCACCTGGAAGGGAAGCTTTCCCTGGTGGTTGGGGTGCTGGTGGAAGTGGGAGTGGAGGTGGTGGCAGTAGCTGGGGCGGTGGAGCTGGCTCCAGTGGAAATGATGCATGGGGCGGTGCTGCTGATAATGGGACTTCAGGATGGGGTTCTGACACCAAGAAAAAAGGTTCTGGTGATGGAGATTTGGGATGGGGTTCTGAACCGAAAAGAAGTACCCAGTCTCAGTCTGGAAACAGATGGTCTGGAACTGACGGAGGTGGCGGTTGGTGAAGGGGACAACTATATTTTGTAATTGCCACTAGTAACAGTTTACAACTACCGGCTGCTGTGGTGATGGATGGTTTGGAAGCAGCTGCTGTATGTTGCTGAAGCCCCATGACCTCTCTCCTGACTTGTTTCGGCCTTTGGTAGGCTCAGTTTTAGCGTTATGCAAACTATATTAAGAAGTTTCTGCTGCGGCAAACAATTGTAACGGATATAACTATATGCTCTGCTGCCTTGTGCGTTTCTCTATTATTATTCGTATATTATCATTATTGTTATTATGATTATTACTACTACTACCACCAATACTAGATGAAGCACACGCTTCTGTGTGTGTAAATATAATAAATAAATAAACAGGTGGAAGAGAAATTTGAGATAAAACCCTTGAGAGAATGTGTAAGAGGTTCGGCCTTTTATTTTTAAAGTTTAAAATTAGAGACAGATGACATCTAGGTAAGAGAAGAATAAAATATAGGAAAATTTAACTTTAGCAAAATGATATTATTGCTCATGATTTTACTTTGTGAAAGAAGACCAAGTAATTTTTTAGTTGTTTAGGTTACCAGGTGAAGCATATACACTGCGTAAATATAAAATGAAAAAATGAAAAAAATGTTAAATTGAAAAGAGAAGTTGAAGATGAATGTGAGAGAGAAAAAAAGAGGTGAGTTTTTTATTCTTTATGAATTTCGTCAGAGATAATATAATGAGATGTGGGGGAGCTTTGAAATAAAATAAAATTTGGTTTGTGTGAAACCACATTACTGCACATGATTTTATTTTCTGATAGAAGATCACATTGTATTTTTACCTCTTTCGGTTGACAAAGAGGATTTTATTAATTATAACTGTTGAAGCCTACACAGTGTGTGTGTCAATATAAAATATTCTAAAATCAATGCCACCTTATCCCACTTAGTGAGGTTGACTGTATGAATCTAAACACCACTACACAAGGTTTTGTGCCATGTCTTTCATTAGCTCCAAGTATTCTATATATTTTCTTAAAGAAGTCTCTTTCCAAGCCTTCCTAGGTTTTCCACCCCTTTTTGCCTTGAGCCTCCATCTTATAGCCATCTTCTGACCAGAGCATTTGTAGGTCTTCAGTTCATGTATCTAAACCATTTTAATCTATTTTTGTCTCGTCTTATCTTCAATTACGGCCACTCCTACTTAATACCTCTATAGTTTGTGCAATTTTATATGTCGTCCTTATTCTTGTAAATAGGCACCAAAGTGCTTTTTCACCACTCATTTGACAACTTCTTCATTTTCAAAATCTTATTGAAAAGGTTTGTGAGTCAAGTTATACCCGTCCCACCTTCCACACTTCAATCTCTATATAGTCATGACGCATTGCTTTTTTATGCCTCATATTTTTCAAAGCTACTTCCTCTTTTCTAAGTTGGGGGTAGAAGAAGTAATTTCCATTCTTAGTTTCTTAACTCACCCAAAGAAGTACTCATGTTGTGTCTTTCATTGAAAAGATTATAAAAATAAGCTCTCCATTTGCCTTAAGACCAACCCACTTAGCTTCTTGAAGGCACATAATATTTATCCTTCTCCTCACCAAAAGTTCTACTACTTTCATAGATTTTCCCGTTAAGATTCTTATATTTTATGTTCCTAACCGCATTCTACTCTCTTGAAAATATATGGAAGAGAGAGAGAGAGAGAGAGAGGATTGTTTTTCGAATTAAAGATTCTATGATAACATGTGGGTAAGGTTTGAAAAAAAAAAAAGTAAAAATTTGATTTGGTTGACAAAGAATTTTGTTAATACGTAGTTTAGATTAAAAGCATTGTGCTAGTGGAGAGGTTGATTCCATCTGCCCTATTAACTAATTAGTGAAAAGTGTCATGACAAAAGCATATAAGGTGGGTGAGAAAATAAGTCAAGATAAGTGGACACTTATGTTTCAACTCTTTAGTGTGGGTCAAAAAATAACTTTGGGCGGGAAAAGATTAGGATCCTATTTCAAATTTATTGTGGGTGGGATGAACATAGGAGCACTTTAACTAAATAGTATCGTGGGCATTAAATGCTAAAATCAATCTTTGAGTAGTTTGAGTGACTTATGAACACTTGAAAATAATTTTTTTCAATTCTAACCCATTATTTTAATCTTTCCCTCCTTTTTTGAGTAATTTAGAGTAAAAATGTCATATATATTTAATAAGTAAACAATTAAGTTTATGAAATTACTATGTGATGTGAGACAATGAGTGGATATTGTTATATAACTTTCTAATTGGTTGAGTATCCCCAACAAGAGTTTGCTATTTTAGCTAGCCAAATACCCAAAAGCTATTATAGCTTGTCCGTTTAGCATCAAGATGGTCCTGAATTTGAAAATTGATCAATGTAAATTTTGTTAAAAAGACTCTTTTGTCCTCTCTATTAGGCTCTTCTTCTTGCTGAACTGGAGCTTGTGAGAAAATGAGAAGGATTCTCTATCCTCGTATTCCCTTCCCCTTTCCTTCCCTCCTCTCACACTTTGATTTTTATCTTTTTGTCTCTATAATAAAATCAATATAAGATGTTGATGTGACTTAATCGTAATCATTCAAATAGGAAGGGAGTGAAGTTTTTGAAAGTTAAATAATTTTGAAATTCTCTCTTCTTAGCTACATGTAGCTGGTGGAAAAGGATCTGGTGATTATGGCCATTCATCGTACATTGTGCGATCAGAAATCATTTAAATTTTAAATTAAATATAAATTGTACCTAAAGAAAACATGATGTATAATGAACAGTCACGATCACAGGAATCCCCAGGAAAAGGATCCAGCGAGGATCCTTTTCCGTAGCTAGTGACTCTTCAGTTTTTAATTTAACTAGTAAGATAGTTAGTGCATGTTTGGTGCAAGCAAGGATTATGTTTAATGAGACTAAGCTGGACTTGCTAGGATTAAATGCTTCGCTAAGGAGCCTTAGCAAGACCCCCCCCCCCCCGAAAAGGAGATGATTGCTAATCCCGTCTCCTACACTTGCTTTGCTTCATCTCAGGCTCAGTTCAGGACTCCAGTATGCTTCGCATCGTCCTCATAGCTGTCCAACGATCGACGACAGACCTGCATTGTTGTTGAAACCCAAATCCCCAAAAGACGAGATATTTGAAAGAACGTTGTCGGATGAGCGCTGTTGTAAGACGCAACGACGCCAGAAGTGTCCCCAATCCCAGCTTCAACAACGGTGTTGCAAGCACAAATCACCATTTCAACGAGGTCATACCCAAAATCGAATGGATCTAGGCCAACCAAGCTTGCCCATTCGGGATTCCACACCCACCGAACAAAAACTTGAAAAACCAAGCTCGATTCTTCGTTTTGCAAAAAAAATTTTGGCAATTAATCTGAAAGAAAAAAAAGGGAATGGAAGGAGAGCGTGGGATGGAGAGAACAAGGGAGATAAAAGGGAGAAAAATATGGACTGATGGAGGCTTTAAGAGAGAAAGAGAGTTTTTTTAGAATAAAAAAAGGTAGAATTAATTAATATAATATTATTAGATATGAATTAAAAAATATAATATTGTAGTTTGGTATTATCCTTCTTTTTAGTTGGACATTGCACCAAACGTTTCACTAAGTCAATTTAGTTTAGTGTAGTCTAAGCCAGTCTAGCTTACTCCCTGAAGCTAGTCCAGTCCGAGATAGTTCGATGCAATAAACGCACCCTTAATGTGTTGGACTTGAATTTTGGAGAGTTGTGAGCTAAAAAGCAAAAAATGCTCATTGAGCTTTTGATAATATAGTGATATTATTCAGACTTTTTTGCCTAGTTTGTCAGACACTTAAAACACGTCACGTCAAATCTAATCTTGTCAAACCACAATAATACATTTCAACCAAAAAAAAAAAAAAACCCACAATAATACATTAATTATAGACACTTACTAGCCATGATGTTGAGAGGCATGTTATTCGTTTGAATGTGAAAACTAACATTGCAGTTTGCATTATCAAATACTAGCATTTGCCTACATATTTTTTGTGTATGAACACATTCTTTTAGAAAATAAGAAGGAGAGAGAGAGAGAGAGTGTGCCACATCCCGGCCCGGGACGGATCACTTCCCGGGCTAGCTCCACCACTGTAGCACGATATTGTTCGCTTTGGGCTTACCATTCCCTCACGGTTTTGCTTTTGGGAACTCACGAGCAACTTCCTAATGGGTCACCCATCATGGGATTGCTCTAGCCCCCTTCTCGTTTAACTTTGGAGTTCCTATGGAACCCGAAGCCAGTGAACTCCCAAAAGGCCTCGTGCTAGGTAGATATGGGAATATACATATAAGGATCACTCCCCTGGGCGATGTGGGATGTCACAATCCATCCCCCCTTAGGGGTCCGACGTCCTCGCCAGCACACATGCAACCAGGGTTAGGCTCTGATACCAAATTGTCACTTCCCACCCCGAGGCGAATCACTTCCCGGGTCTGCTCCACCACCGTAGCACGATATTGTCCGCTTTGGGCTTACCATTCCCTCACGGTTTTGTTTTTGGGAACTCACAAGCAACTTCCCAGTGGGTCACCCATCATGGGATTGCTCAAGCCCTCTTCTCGCTTAACTTCGGAGTTCCTACAGAACCCGAAGCCAGTGAGCTTCCAAAATGCCTCGTGCTAGGTAAGGATGAGAATATACATATAAGGATCACTCCCCTAGGGCGATGTGGGATGTCACAATCCACCCCCTTTAGGGGCCCGACGTCCTCATCGGCACACACGCGGCCAAGGTTAGGCTCTGATACCAATTTGTCACATCCCCGCCCGAGGCAGATCACTTCCTGGGCCTGCTCCACCACCGTAGCACGATATTGTCCCCTTTGGGTTTACCATTCCCTCACGGTTTTGTTTTTGGGAACTCACGAGCAACTTCCAGTGGGTCACCCATCATGGGATTGCTCTATCCCCTTTCTCGTTTAACTTCGGGAACCCAAAGCCAGTGAGCTCCTAAAAAGCCTCGTACTAGATAGGGATGAGAATATACATTTAAGGATCACTCCTCTAGGCGATGTGGGATGTCACAGAGAGAATGAGAGGTTTTTGTTTTTGGTTTATATATATTGGAGGTATTTTAACATCACCGGTAGGTGAGGTTTCAATAAAAACAGTAAAATTTGGACCTGTGAAATTACATTATTGCTCATCATTTTTTTTGTGTGATAGAAGACTTAAGTAATCTTGTTTACCCTCTTTTAGTTGACAAAGAAATTTTCACTAATTAATAAAGATTTAGTTGAGCTACGTTTAACTATACTTGTGTGAAAAAATGTCACCCCG